GGGCTTGGTAAAAAAAATAAATAAATCCCCGGGGCAGCTCCCTGCGCTGCGTTCCCTGCGCAAGCCCGCCCTGCCCGGGGCCTCACTCTCCGCTCTCCTCCGCAGGATGGCTCTCTGCTGGCCTCGCCCTTTCTCAAAGGCTTCCTGGCAGGCTACCTGGTAGCCAAACTTCGCTTCTCAGCTGTCCTGGGATTCGTGGCTGGCACCTGCACAGGGATATACGCTGCTCAGAACTACGCCGTCCCCAACGTTGAAAAGACAGTCCGGGACTATTTCAGTTCACTGAAAAAAGGTCGGGACTAGCGAGGAGCTCTTTGGCAGCGGTGACTGTAAGAACGGTACTCCTTAGTTAGCGGGCACAGAAGATTCCTAGGGCTTTCAGAGGCGCATCACGTACACCGTTCTTTTCCACTGGAAAAGGGCTTTACACCACATCCTTGTGAGACATCAGTGGGTCTGGTTATGGGGTATTTATTAGAGCATCGTGCCAGCGATGATCACTCCGCTAACCCACAGTGGCTTGGAAGCATTGGCAGCTGATGGTTTGCCAGTTGCTTTTTCCCCATCACCTCTCTCCCTGTGCCCCTGCGGACCGAAAGGCTGCCTGTGACCTGTCATCACGCTCACCACCCGTGCACCCTTCCGCCGAGCACACGCTTTGCCCTAGGAATATGCTTTGTGTGGCTTCCTGGGGAGGCTTGTAGTTCTCTTCCTAATGAAAGACAAAACTTCTCTTCCACTGCATCAGAAATGTAGCAGGTAACATCGTGTTTTAATCAGGCTCATTAAATTCATGGTATTTGGTCTCTTCTTGAATGTTCTAGGGTGCGAGTCTGTCTGGCCTGTCTGCACTGATAGCAGCTCGCCCTTGCTGGCTGCCGCCTGAAAATGGTGATATTTGGTAATGCTGCTGGCTCTGCGAACCGGGTGCTCCGGAGGGGGCTGTGGGGACTGATGCTGGTCTTGTCTGTAGCCATATATGGCTCTCATGCTCCCCTCCTCACCCTGTGCAAGGTGGATGGGATGATCCCCTTCAGCTCTGCGTCCGTCGTGGTTCTTGTTGAGCTGACAAAACTGGTGTTTTCCCTCTTGTCCCTGCTGATCTGGAACCGGGAGCTGCTGGGAGTCGCCGTGTCATGGCACCATGTTGCCCCCTTCGCCCTCTCTGCCCTGCTCTACGCTGCCAACAACAACCTGGTGGTTCACATGCAGCTCTTCATGGATCCCAGCACCTACCAGGTCTTGAGTAACTTAAAGATCGTCAGCACCGCGCTCCTCTACAGCCTCTTCCTGCGCCAAAGACTCAGCATGCGCAAGTGGCTGGCGCTTTTCCTGCTGGTGGCTGCTGGGGTGAGCTACAGCTGTGGTGGCCAGCAGGACCCGGGCAGCCCCTCCAAGATGCAGCTGCACATCACGCTGGTGGGCTTCTTGCTGATCTCAGTGTACTGCCTGATATCAGGCTTGTCTGCTGTCTACACGGAAGCCATCCTGAAAACCCAGGCGCTGCCCCTCAGCCTTCAGAACCTCTTCCTTTATTTCTTTGGGGTCCTGCTCAACTTGATTGGCTACTTCTGGAGCAGCGCAGAGGGTGGTTTCTTGCAGGGCTTTTCCTCCTGGGTGCTGGTGATTGTCGTCAGCCAGGCCTTGAACGGCTTGATCATGTCCGTGGTGATGAAGCACAGCAGTAACATCACCAGGCTCTTCGTGATCTCCTGCTCCATCCTGGTCAACGCCCTCCTGTCCGTCACCCTCTTCAACCTGCAGCTCACCCTCCTCTTCTTCGTTGCTGCCTTGTGCATCGGCCTCGCTGTTCACTTGTACTATGGGGTCACGTAGCTGCTGCCTTCCTGCCCTGCCTGCTCCAGGGCAGTCTTCTGTCATTCCTCAGGAGGGTTCAGTGCTTGTGCTGGGGCCGGTGTTGGAAGCGCAGCAATGCTCTGGCCATCGGCCTCCCTGCCCTACTCTTTGCAGGGAGTCGTCACTGCTGGGTGCGTGCAAGGGGCCCCCAGCAGAGGAATGCTGAGGGGGAGAGTGCCCTGTCCCAGTTTCCGGGGGGGAGCTGGGCTCTGCTCCAGCCTGGCCGGGTTCCCGCACCACTGGGCAGGCCCAGCCTCGAGGCTGGGTCCTGAGCGCCTCGGTCACGTGGCGTATCACGTTCTCAAGCTGCTTCCCCCTTCTTCCCCACACCAAAGAGCACACCCGTTTCTTGTGCCTGTAAATGCCCCTGCGCTGGTGAATTCTGCCATGCTGCGGGCTCTGCAGCCCTGCTGCCTGGCCGCTGCCAGGCCAGCGGCAGCCTGATGCTCTTCCCACCCCTGGGGATGGTGCTTCCCTGTGGCAGGGGTCCACATCCATCCAACATGCCCAGCTGAACCCCAGCCTTTGCTTCAGGGGAGCCCTGGTGCTGTGGGAGGTGACCCCCTGGCCTGTGCCCCCTCTGAGCCCCCAGCAAGGTGGGGTCATGCCACGGCCGGAGGTGTTTCTCCCACCCCTCTGTGTGGTTTTTCAGCCCACCCCCAGCCCCTGGCTGAAGGGCTGCTGTCCTTAGGCCCCATTTCCCCTTCTCGGGCACGGTGTCGCTGCTCCATGCAGAGCAGATGGGGAGCAGGGGGATGTGGGAGCTGTTTCACCTGCTCCCAAATAGGAGGTAGCACCCAAATTTGTACCAATGCTGTGGCTAGTGAGTTCCTAGCAGGCAGAAGTCACCGCTGGCTCTGGCCGGGGTTATTAAAGTTGCGGTTCAACAGCACGTGTGTGTCTGTCCTCCTGGCAGGAAGGCTTCTGTTTCGCTTGGCAGAGGTTTGGGAGCCAGGGGCGCATCCGAGCCTGACAACACTCATCAGTGAAGGGGCACCCACTTTATTCCATGTGGCAGCAGCCCAGTGGCCGCCAGCCCTCCAGCCGTGCCCCCTCTGCTCCCATTGCAGGGCTGTGCTCCCGCAGGCACGTGCCCAGTGGCAGAGCAGGGCTTTCCCCATGGGGGCAGAGGGGTGAAGCGCTCCCCTCCTGCCAGCAAGCACCCTCCTGGGGGCCCGGTGTCTGCAGGGAGCTGCTCTCAGCAGCCGGAGCAGGCAGGATGGGAGGCCTTGCCCTGCTTAACTCCAGCTGGGTCCTGCAGCATCAGGGCTGGTGGCTCACTTTGGGGAGGAGGGGTTGAGGTGGCAGGGGTCTGCAGGTGCAAAGGTCCAGCTCTCGCTGGAGGAGCAGGCAGTGCTGAGCGCGCAGCCGCTGCCTCTGTGCCTTGGCCAGGGCATGCTGAAAGGCCACAATCAGGTCTGCCCACAGCCTCCTCCAGGCTCAACAGCCCCAAAATACAGAGCGTGAGGTGAAACAGAGGGTGAGGTGACACAGAAAATACCCAGGAGCAGATTTTAATGGGAGGGCAGGACAGACCATGGGGACGAAGCACGGGGCTTGGCTGGGTGAGCGCTGCCTGCCCCCAGCCAGCCCCACTTCCCCATGCTTCTTCCTTCCCCACCCACCCCTACATCACCTTCCTTCTGGTCCTTCCCACAAGCGTTCCCCAGCAAGCACGTTCCCCCATCTCCCTCAGCATCCGTTAATCTGTTTTCTCTTTCCTATGGGGACAGGCTGCGAGAGTTGGGGGTGTTCAGCCTGAGGAAGAGAAGGCTGCGGGCAGAGCTGAGTGGGGCCGGGCAGGGCCTGAAGGGGGGC